ACAGAGCGACATGTTTATTATCCGCGCATAGATACTCAGTATTATTATATAGAGCGACATGTTTATTCTCATTGTGTAGATACTCAGAATTATTATACAGAGCGACATGTTTATTATCAGCGTATAGATACTCAGTATTATTATACAGAGTGACATGTTTATTATCAGTGTGTAGATACTCCGTATTATTATACAGAGCGACATGTTTATTATCAGTGTATAGATACTCAGTATTATTATATAGAGCGACATGTTTATTAGTGTATAGATACTCAGTATTATTACACAGAGCGACATGTTTATTATCCGCGCATAGATACTCAGTATTATTACACAGAGCGACATGTTTATTATCCGCGTATAGATTCTCCGTATTATTATACAGAGCGACATGTTTATTCTCATTGTGTAGATACTCAGTATTATTATACAGAGCGACATGTTTATTATCAGCGTATAGATACTCAGTATTATTATACAGAGCGACATGTTTATTATCGGCGTATAGATACTCAGTATTATTATACAGAGCGACATGTTTATTATCAGCGTATAGATACTCAGTATTATTATACAGAGCGACATGTTTATTATCGGCATATAGATACTCAGTATTATTATACAGAGCGACATGTTTATTATCAGTGTATAGATACTCAGTATTATTATACAGAGCGACATGTTTATTATCAGCGTATAGATACTCGGTATTATTATACAGAGCGACATGTTTATTATCAGTGTATAGATACTCAGTATTATTATACAGAGCGACATGTTTATTATCAGTGTATAGATACTCAATATTTTTATACAGAGCGACATGTTTATTATCAGCGTATAGATACTCAGTATTATTATACAGAGCGACATGTTTATTATCCGCGTATAGATACTCAGTATTATTATACAGAGCGACATGTTTATTATCAGTGTATAGATACTCAGTATTATTATACAGAGTGACATGTTTATTCTCAGTGTATAGATACTCAATATTTTTATACAGAGCGACATGTTTATTATCAGTGTATAGATACTCAGTATTATTATACAGAGCGACATGTTTATTATCGGCATGGTGCTCGGTATTATTATATAGAGCGACATGTTTATTCTCATTGTGTAGATACTCAGAATTATTATACAGAGCGACATGTTTATTATCAGCGTATAGATACTCAGTATTATTATACAGAGTGACATGTTTATTATCAGTGTATAGATACTCTGTATTATTATACAGAGCGACATGTTTATTATCAGCGTATAGATACTCAGTATTATTATATAGAGCGACATGTTTATTCTCATTGTGTAGATACTCAGAATTATTATACAGAGTGACATGTTTATTATCAGTGTATAGATACTCAGTATTATTATACAGAGTGACATGTTTATTATCAGTGTATAGATACTCTGTATTATTATACAGAGCGACATGTTTATTATCAGCGTATAGATACTCAGTATTATTATACAGAGCGACATGTTTATTATCCGCGTATAGATACTCAGTATTATTATACAGAGCGACATGTTTATTATCAGCGTATAGATACTCAGTATTATTATATAGAGTGACATGTTTATTATTAGTGTATAGATACTCAGTATTATTATACAGAGCGACATGTTTATTATCAGCATATAGATACTCAGTATTAATATACAGAGTGACATGCTTATTATCAGCGTATAGATACTCAGTATTATTATACAGAGTGACATGTTTATTATCGCGTATAGATACTCAGTATTATTATACAGAGCGACATGTTTATTATCAGCATATAGATACTCAGTATTATTATATAGAGCGACATGTTTATTAGTGTATAGATACTCAGTATTATTATACAGAGCGACATGTTTATTATCAGCGTATAGATACTCAGTATTATTATACAGAGTGACATGTACTTATTATCAGAGTGTGTAGATACTCCGTATTATTATACAGAGCGACATGTTTATTATCAGTGTATAGATACTCATATTTTATACAGAGCGACATGTTTATTATCAGTGTATAGATACTCAGTATTATTACACAGAGCGACATGTTTATTATCCGCGCATAGATACTCAGTATTATTACACAGAGCGACATGTTTATTATCCGCGTATAGATTCTCCGTATTATTATACAGAGCGACATGTTTATTCTCATTGTGTAGATACTTAGTATTATTATACAGAGCGACATGTTTATTATCAGCGTATAGATACTCAGCATTATTATACAGAGCGACATGTTTATTATCAGCATATAGATACTCAGTATTATTATATAGAGCGACATGTTTATTATTAGTGTATAGATACTCAGTATTATTATACAGAGCGACATGTTTATTATCAGCATATAGATACTCAGTATTAATATACAGAGTGACATGCTTATTATCAGCGTATAGATACTCAGTATTATTATACAGAGTGACATGTTTATTCTCAGTGTGTAGATACTCAGTATTATTATACAGAGCGACATGTTTATTATCAGTGTATAGATACTCAATATTTTTATACAGAGCGACATGTTTATTATCAGTGTATAGATACTCAGTATTATTACACAGAGCGACATGTTTATTATCCGCGCATAGATACTCAGTATTATTACACAGAGCGACATGTTTATTATCCGCGCATAGATACTCAGTATTATTATATAGAGCGACATGTTTATTCTCATTGTGTAGATACTCAGAATTATTATACAGAGCGACATGTTTATTATCAGCGTATAGATACTCAGTATTATTATACAGAGTGACATGTTTATTATCAGTGTTTAGATACTCTGTATTATTATACAGAGCGACATGTTTATTATCAGCGTATAGATACTCAGTATTATTATATAGAGCGACATGTTTATTCTCATTGTGTAGATACTCAGAATTATTATACAGATGACATGTTTATTATCAGTGTATAGATACTCAGTATTATTATACAGAGTGACATGTTTATTATCAGTGTATAGATACTCTGTATTATTATACAGAGCGACATGTTTATTATCAGCGTATAGATACTCAGTATTATTATACAGAGCGACATGTTTATTATCCGCGTATAGATACTCAGTATTATTATACAGAGCGACATGTTTATTATTTGCGTATAGATACTCGGTATTATTATACAGACTAGTGACTACATTACTATGTAGATACTGTGGTGTATACCAGCAGTCCCCTCTAGGGGAGCTTTGCACAATGCACAGTTTTTCCCTAACCAGCTCCTGTAGTAAGTGTGCAAGGCATGCTGGGATGGATACACCCCCTAAATTTGCTCTCTCTTCCCAGTGTGTATATGGAGTTCGGCCATTTTGGGTGCATGTTACAGTAGGAATGTGTATATCAACAAAGGAATCGAACATAATATGTGACTTGTGATCAATAAATCCTGGCTGATTAATAGACGGTTGTCACGAACACACCCTACTCCAAGAGTGTGCGTGACGTAGTTGTGGTGGTGAAAGGGTTAAAGTTCACTATTTGTCTGCACTAGACCGGAAATAATGACAAAATCCCCCCTTTAAAACCACCCACACTTAAACATAATATTATAACTATTACTATTTTAACGCTGCCACCACCAAGACAATTTATAAATGGGGTGCCTTGGTCCCCCAGGTAAATCAATAATAAATCCCACCAAATATTACTTAGCACAATATTTAAGGAATTATAAAAATACTAACTAGTCTCTTCAGGTAACGTGATTCTTAACCAGACAAAGGCAAAACTTAATAAATGAATGTTTATTATGAGCAAAAGATAGTCACAGTGCATATAAAAATATATGATAAACAAATTATTTACACCAACAACAGATAAAAACAAAAAGGATAAAATACAGAAGTCCTAATTACTCACTTAGGTTTTCAAAATACAACTTCTGTCCAGGGGGTCTCTGGCAAGGAAAGATGGTGACTCACCCAAAATTAGATCTTGGCCCCAAGCAAGTACACCAACACCCTTCAGGATCATTAGATATATACCCTGTGGTTTATCAAGTCTTGCCCAGGGGTGGAGTTAAGGCGTACCTACAGTAATAATAACTGACCACCTCCTTTGTTCCAGACCACTGTCAATCCAAATGGAAACATTTGACTCTATCTTCTTTTTTGTACCTGCCACAGAAATAATAATTGCATCTACAAATTTGTTATTATTTTCCCATTCCATAGACATGTTGCACGTCCCACCCACGATCCAATAGGACGGACATCACAATTCCTTTCCCTAGGGTCAAGTTAGGCCACTCATGTTTGGACTTGGTTAGAAGATGGCGCTTGTCACATTCCAAATATAACAAAAATGAGGCTTAATTATTATTCTGTGGGGGTAAATATGAATGTTTTTGTCCTTCCTTTTGGATATGATACTAGAACAAAGCTAATGGCATTTACATATCAAAGAGATTTACTCATCACTTACAAGGCACAGGCCAAAACATTTCCACCGCCTGGTCAAACCAGGTATCTACTACAGTTTCAATAGCACAACCCTCTAGTATAAGTGGTAGAGGCTTGGAGTGATATAAGAATAGTAGTACATACTTGGCACAACCTTCCAGTGACAGAGGTTGGGGGGTAACAGTGTGCTGCATGCGTTTAGAATATGTGATTAGAATGTATGTGATATACACTGTAATTTGTTCCTCTAGCATAAATGCAGAGACGTGAGGCTACATGGGCTAAATCTAATTTTGCAAAGCAAATTAAAGTAAAAAAAAAAAGAGAGAGTATACACAATTTTGCTAGTAAAGGGGTTAATGCACACAAATACTTGATTTCTTCACAATCACCATGAAACCTGATGGTCGTATATCTTACATATTATGCAAATATTGTCTGTTTTTCTAAGTATAGCAAACAATAATTTATTGTGATCGATTTCCTTTAACTACAAGTATCTTATCCTTCAGGTGTATTTGTCTGGAGAGGTGACAAGAACAGAAATACATGAAGCAAGGCGATGAAGAAATATTTTAATAACAGAACCAAGGAGTCTAACTCTGAAAAATCAAGCATTTTCTCAGATTCCTATATGTTCTCAAATCCCAAACCTTTCTCGTGTTCTGAAGGTGGAAAATGTTTTGGGCGACATTCAAATCTTGTCAATCATCAGACTACACACACAGGAAAGAAACCGTTCTCATGTTCTGAATGTGGAAAATGTTATAGGCGACATTTACATCTTGTCTGTCATCAGAGAACACACACAGGAGAGAAGCTTTTCTTATGTAGTATATGTGGGAAATGTTTTGTCATCAAAAAGCAGCTTGTTCGTCATCAGAGAACTCACCTAGGAGAGAAACCGTTCTCATGTTCTGAATGTGAAAAATGTTTTGTCACAAATGCAGAGCTTGTCAGTCATCAGAGAACGCACACAGGAGAGAAACCGTTCTCATGTTCTGAATGTGAAAAATGTTTTGGCAGAAATGCAGATCTTGTCAGTCATCAGAGAACGCACACAGGAGAGAAACCGTTCTTATGTTCTGAATGTGGAAAATATTTTCGGCACCGTTCAACTCTTGTCAGTCATCAGAGAACTCACACAGGAGAGAAAACATTCTCATGTTCCGTATGTGGAGATTGTTTTGGGCAATATTCAACTCTTGTCAATCATCAGCAAACTCACCTAGGAGAGAAACCGTTCTCAAGTTCTGAATGTGAAAAATGTTTTGTCATAAATAATGCAGATCTTGTCAGTCATCAGAGAACTCACACAGGAGAGAAACCATTCTCATGTTCTGAATGTGAAAAATGTTTTCGGCACCGTTCAACTCTTGTCAGTCATCAGAGAACTCACACAGGAGAGAAACCATTCTCATGTTCTGAATGTGGAAAATGTTTTCGGCACCGTTCAACTCTTGTCAATCATCAGAGAACTCACACAGGAGAGAAACCATTCTCATGTTCCATATGTGGAAATTGTTATGGGCAATATTCATATCTTGTCACTCATCAGAAAACTCACACAGGAGAGAAACCGTACTCATGTTCTGAATGTAAAAAATGTTTTAGCACAAATGCAGCGCTTGTTCGGCATCAGCGAACTCACACAGGAGAGAAACCGTTCTCATGTTCTGAATGTGGAAAATATTTTGGGCAACATTCACATCTTGTCACTCATCAGAAAACTCACACAGGAGAGAAACCATACTCATGTTCTGAATGTAAAAAATGTTTTGTCAGAAATGCAGATCTTGTCAGTCATCAGAGAACTCACACAGGAGAGAAACCGTTCTCATGTTCTGAATGTGAAAAATGTTTTGTCACAAATGCAGATCTTGTCAGTCATCAGAGAACACACACAGGAGAGAAGCCTTTTTTATGTTGTATATGTGGGAAATGTTTTGCTAGTAAATCAGAGCTTGTCAGTCATCAAAGAACTCACACAGGTGAGGTGATTTTATAATGCATCTATGGATTAACATAGGAATAAAATATCTTGTATTGTGATTATTTTATTTTTTTTTTTTTATCATGCTCACACAATAAATAGTAACTTTGATAGTAGCAGTGAATGTACATATATTGCATTGGTATTGTGGCACCCCCATGCTATCGTCCGTATGTGCCTAACCTGCATTGCTAACTCTGCTTCACTTGGTTGCAAACTCACCAGTAACCCAGTATACAACCCAGGATACATTGTGGTTGTATGTTCTGGCTGTTATAAAGTATACTAACTAGACTGTTCCACTGGTAATACACTTCAATGAAAATGGTTGTTTAGCATGACTTACATTTGTATGATTCCAACCAAGACCTCAGCAAACACAATAGACACATGCTTCTTGATGGCAACTTGTAGGATCACTATTTCTGAGCTCCAGCTTTTATAAAAAAAAAAAACTACACACACACATGAAATGTATTTACAAATTATTTATACCAATAAAAATATGAACTGGGATAGGAGACCAGAGATCTGACGGAGGAATATAAATTAGGCTAAGCTAATTATCCCCTGGGGTCCTTTATTCTTATCCCAGGACACAATAACCTTGGACATTCTAAGAGACAGGCTAGTTTCCTCAACCCCCATGTTAATACAGACTTCAAGCAACAGTTATGTTTACTTCTAATTTTCTAGGTTTTTTTTTTTCCTTAGGGCATACAATGCAGCTGAGAGTATAACTAATAAATATACCAATTTTGTCAAATACGGCAATCAGACATTCATAATTTGGAGTCAAATTTCAGCCTTCTGAAAAACATTTAATGAGCTTTAAAATATCTGATGTGTCGTAGGATTTTATCTTTGTAATATGATTATTATTCTTGTATTGGTTGCAAATATCGTTTCAGACTTCTTTCACACACAGGATCTGGTAGGCCCTACCTAGACATCTAATATTAATTATCGGACATATGTCCATTGTATATCAATGGTCGACACATGGTTTTTGTTCACATATATTGATGAAGGCTCGCTGTTGTTATAACCTTTGACCCAGCCAGACTCCCATGTGTATTAAGAAGGGCCTCTTTCTGAATGTATTAATTTTAACATATATGTGTAAATTATATGTGTAATTTATATTTTACCGCCAAGTATAACCATTTTTTTTACAAATACACAAGTCCTGCGCTCAAACTCCCATTACTCTTGGGTGGCAGCATCAACCATAGTACACATCAGCTCTAATACATACAGTAAAAAACAAAGAAAACAAGTTAACCATTTTTATAATGTATGGCTTTAATCATAGATTGGATAGAATGGTTATTAAGCTACAACCCTTTTTACATATTTTTTAAAGAATTTAATAACCTTATCCTTATGTGTACACCTCCTAATTAACTGATTTCTTAGACATAGAAAATATTTTTGCAGATAGATATTCACCAGCAATACTTAACAGCAAAAATGGATATTAACTTTGTGACGAGAGCAATCTCGCCACACTGCATTGGAGAAACCTGGTTGCCCGCCTGCTGCCTTTTTATGGACCGGCAGTGAAACAGTTAATTTTACTGTGCAGAAAGGTTTATTCATGCCTTTCTGCACAACCGTTCGGTAGATTCTATCTACCGAACAAACAGCCATCTATTAGCCTCCCCAGAGCCGTGGGGAGCTGGCAGGCGCTGTTAATTGGCTGCCCAGAAGCTGGCGTGTGCAGTCAATTTACCACCCAGTAGCTGCAGTTAACCGCAGCTTAATTGACTGTTACTGGGTGGCCGCGGTTACACTTAGCGGCCACTAGGTGGTGGTGTTATGGAGCTTCCCGGACGGCCAGCGGTGCTCAGCCCGGAATCAGTGCACTAAAAGCGGACACCTTTACGTGCGGGCACCGCTGAGCCATTCGCCACCTGGTTCTTATTCGTGCAGATTTAACCGAATACATGTTCATTTGGTAGTTTGTATATGTGAATGTGTTAACCCAGATAGCTATGCCATGGAGCCTATTCGTGTAATTAAAGACTTTGGCTCCATGGCAATTGAACTGTGTGAATAGGATCTGAGCGCTATTCGGTAGTTTTGTGCGCTCAGATCCCAGCTATCTGGGGATATGTGACATGCCTGTGTTTTATGTATAAAATGTAATATTATATGTTTTAATGTATTTCACTGTCTTTGTGTCCCCACATGTATATTGGAGTTTTGCCTCTGTCCTGGGAGATAATTGGATTACTTCTCAATTATCTCCAGGATAGAGGGAGGGAAATTAGGATGCATTGTGGGGATGTTTTTGCTTCTGTGTGTCTGAATGTGATACATGTCTGTCTCTTGCCACAGTCTCCCATCTGGTCCCCTAGGGGAGTGTCCACCAGGTGGGAGACCTGCATAAATACTGGGCGGGTAGCCCTGAATAAACCAGACCACTGCTTGACCCTCAACACGGAGCTCTGTCTTGTCTTTGGGGGGATTTACTGTATGCCGCTAGAGACTGATTGCCAGGAGTGTAAGCTACTTGGGAGCTTTTCCTGTTCGTCTGCTAGCAGCTATTCGTGAGGTTCCGGTTCGGGAGTTTAGAGTGCTACCTTATTCCCTTGTATCCAGTTCGGGAGTTTGGTGTTCTACAGTAGCTGCCTTTTTATCTGAAAGGGGAATATAGCCTAAACGGATTTTAACCCCTTGTCTGCTGAAACAGTCCGTTACAAACTTGAAGTGCATACATATTACTGTATTGGTACAGATATGTGCAAAGACTTTGTTATTTTTGGATGTCGTGTATGTTTGAATAAATATACATTTTAAGGCTGCAAGGCAATCGGATTCAATTATTGGAACTCTGATGTGACAAACAAACATCTCAGCATCAGCTACTTTCCTACATTTAATGGTGGAGAAGGCATGGGCAAGATTTAAGTCTGAATTATTACTGGCTGAATATCTAAAAAGGTTTTGCTGCTAGAAGATTACAAGAAGATAACTGTAGAAAAAGTCAAACTGTTCCCTGCAACGTTAACAAAAACAATAAAAACCTCTTTCCGGAGATAGTGAATGATACTCTATAGTGCCTAAACGAGAAGCAGCTCGACGCATAAAGTGGAATACCCTTATTTCCACAATCAATTTACAATACTAAAAGATATGGTATAAAATATACACCTAGTGGAGCACTATATAAGTATATTAAGTGATAGAGGGGTCAACTTACCCCGTCAGTTTAGTGTGATACCACACTTGGGAATATATACTTAAAAACACATATAAAAGGGAGAGAAAAACTAAGAAATACATGGTATAGATGGTCTTTAGCAATAATGGTTGATAAAAGTAAATAACTAGACCCACTCACATGATCTGGAGCCTATATGGTATTGGCTCTGTAAAGTAAACCTTTTTGCTCTTTGGGCAGCAACACACCACTTCCTAAATGATGTTCCTCCAAAAGACACAAAATGAAGAGAAATAGACTTGATGGGTAGTACTGTGCAAAATTACAGTATATATACTTATGGTAAGTATTGTGCTCACCTTATTGAGAGCCATAAGTTCCTTGCTCTGAGAATGTTCAGCAGTGTGCCAATTTCTTGGGATGGCACTCCCCAAAAAAATTCCTGGTGGCTCCAAGGACTTGAATGAAATAAAAAATAAATGTATTGGTTCCTGTAACGGCACCCAGAGTGTAGAAGGGGTTAAAGCCGTTTAGGGTATTCCCTTCCTGAACACAAGGGCATCTACCGAACCTCCAATCAGCCTAACAAGCAAACATATGAATAATCCACACTCCAAACAGCCGAACAGGAAAAGTATACGAATAATCCCCCCAAGTACAAGACGAGGCTCTGTATTGAGGGTCAAGCAGGAAACTAGTTTAATGTGGGCTACCTGACCGGTATTTATGCAGGTCTCCCACCAAGTGGACACTCCCCTAGGGGACCTTGTGGAAACCTGTGACAAGAGTAGTACAGAAGCAAATCACAGGGTTATACAGAAACACTCCCCTTTAACTGTATAAGACCCGCCTCTCTATCCTGGAGATAATTGGGAAGTAACTCAATTATCTCAGAGGATAGAGGAAAACTCCATTTTATTAACATGGACAAAAATACATAAGAAATCTATAAGTTACAATTTACCGAATGTAACCCCCATATGGAACATATCCCCGGATAGCTTATATCTGAGTGCATATTATTACCAAATAGCGCTCAGATCACATACATGGTTCAATCGCCATGGAGCCAAAGTATTTCACATAGTTTTTCATTGTATGAATGGGCTCCATGGGACAGCTATCTGGGGTGACTCCATTCGTGAGGAAAAGTACCGAATGGTACGGCGTTCGTATGATGAAGGAACAGAGGAAGGAAGGTCGGTGGCTTCAGCGGTGTTTGTGAGAAATAGTATCCGTTTTCAGTTCCATGAAACAGTCGACGAACAGTGCTGGGAATTCGTATGTCCAAGATGGCCGCCGCCACATGTTCGTTTATACGAACGATGACCACCGAGCTGACCTTCGACAATTAGGAAGTGTCTGCAGTTAACTACAACCAAGAGGTTAACAAGCAGCACACCTCCATGCTGGGTGGCCGGCCGTTCGGCAGTTTCTTCGGTAAAACAGGAGAATAATGTAGGGACTGTACGGACAGGGACATAGCCGAACAAACAGACGAATGAAGGGGAAATAAAAGTAATTTACAGACAGATGGGTCTGTCACAGTTCCAAATTAAAACAAAATATTCAAGGTTTTAAGCTATAAAATAAAATCTGAAATGTAGTATACAAAGTCCAAATCAGCCAAAACGCGTTTCATAGAAACATAGAATGTGACGGCAGATAAGAACGATTTGGCCCATCTAGTCTGCCCAATTTAAAAAAATATTTTCATTAGTCCCTGGCCTTATCTTATAGTTAACATTGCCTTATGCATATCCCATGGATGCTTAAACTCCTTTACTGTGTTAACCTCTACCACTTCAGCTGGAAGGCCATTCCATGCATCCACTACCCTCCCAGTAAAGTAATACTTCCTGATATTTTTAAACCTTTGCCCCTCTAATGTAAAACTATGTCCTCTTGTTGTGCTAGTTTTTCTTATTTTAAATATAGTCTCCTCCTTTACTGTGTTGATTGCCTTTATGTATTTAAATGATTCCATCATATCTCCCCTGTCTTGTCTTTCCTCCAAGCTATACATGTTAAGTTCCTTTAACCTTGAACCAGTTTAGTAGCCCTTCTCCGAACTCTCTCTAAAGTATCAATATCCTTCTGGAGATACGGTCTCCAGTACTGTGCACAATATTCCAAGTGAGGTCTCACCAGTGTTCTGTACAATGGCATGAGCAGTTCCCTCTTTCTACCAGTGGCGTCTCTAGGATTCATTTTTCAGGGTGGCACATGGAGGGCCAGTGACAAAAGTAGGGGGGCACATTTAACCCCACCCTCGCCGCAGTTTGACCCCGCCCCTGTCGCATGTTAAGCCACACCCCCCGACACAATGTGTTTTGTTTTTTTAATAATACCTGGTGGAGGATTCCTTATTTTCCACCAGGGATTATTAAAAAAACAAACACATTATCCTTGATACAGTGCCATAGTTGCCAACATTTGAAAAAAAAATTCCAAGGACATTTTGCAGCACAGCTATCAATTACTGTCTGGGTATAATATCCCTGGACAGTCAGTGCTCTCTGTATAATACAGGGTTGTGTGTATAATAAATTGGGACACTCAGTGCTCCCTGTATAGTGCTGCTCTCTGTATAATACAGGTCTGTTTGTGTATAATATCCCAAGACAGAGAGCAGCACTATACAGGAAGCACTGACTATCCCGGGATATTTTATACACACAGATCTGTATTATACAGATAGCTGAGCATATACCCCAATCTCTAGACTACTAGTACCTGTCAACAGCAGCTCCCAGACGCGTGTAACAGGGCTAAAGTGTGCGGCAGCTCACACAGATTATTCAGCGGTAAAGTGCACTCGCTGGCAGAGCCAAACTGGGAATCCAAAGCAGCCCTGGAAAAAAAAGTATGCCATTCCTACAAGTCAAAATATATATATATATATATATATATATATATATATTACAGTAAGCACACAAGCTCACTGACATGCGCAAATAGGCTTACTGACAGACAAAACTCTCTGACTCACACACAAGCTTACTACAGACGCTCACTTGTATAAACAGAAGGCTCACTACAAAGAAGTTCAGGGACACACACACAAGCTCACTAAAGACAAGCTCACTGACACACACATGCTCACTAAATAGAAGCACACTGACACACACAAGCAGTACCATTTTAACAGAGTTAAGGGCCCCTGGGCAAAGCAATACACTGGGGCCCTTCCTACACAACAACTCACAGGAATTTTAATTTTTGATAGACTGCGGAGTCCATACACTGCTGACATACTGCTGAGTCCATACACACACAGACTGCTGAGTCCATACACACACACTGCTGAGTCCATACACACACACACACACTGCTGAGTCCATACACACACACACAGATTGCTGAGTCCATACACACACACACACTCACAGATTGCTGAGTCCATACACACACACACATACTCTGCTGAGATCATACACACACACAGACTCTGCTGAGTCCATACACACACACAGACTCTGCTGAGTCCATACACACACACACAGACTCTGCTGAGTCCATACAAAAAAACACACTCTGCTGAGTCCATACACAAACACACACTCTGCTGAGTCCGTACACACACAGACTGCTGAGTCCATACACAGACTACTGAGTCCATACACACACACAGACTCTGCTGAGTCCGTACACACACAGACTGTTGAGTCCAT